ACACACACACACACACACACATACTCTCTCTCTAACACACACACACACACACACACACACACACACACACACACACACACACACACACACACACACACACACACACACACACACACACAGTCATTCATCCAACGCAACAGTGCTGATCCTTGAAAGTCAGTTTTTTCAGATCATCTGGAGAAAAAGTCCCAAATATTTGGAAACCAAAAGTTCAAACAGTGTTTGTTCCCAACGACTGTCCATTGACTTTGATTTGAATCATCAACTTGCTGACCGAACAGGAAAAACAACGCCATTGTCCAAGTTATTACAACCAGAGAACTTAATTGAGTCAAATAATGTCCGACCTGTCTCTTCTAGTCTTCAGAGGACGGCCAGGTCGTGGCAGCTCTTGGAGCGCACTTTGACCGCCATGCGCTGGTTGTTGCGTGCCACCAGTCGGTCCAGGAAGCGGCGAGCCTTCTGGGTAATGCTCTCTTTGCGCTTGTAGAAGGAAGTTTGGCGCTGAACGGCTTTGCTGCCGCCCCGACGGAGGCGGATCTGTCGGATCACGCCCTCGAACAGCTCGGTCACGTTGTGCTGCAGAGACGCCGACGTCTCGATGAACTTACAGTCAAACACCACTGCACACGCTCGGCCTTCTGAGAAACAAAGGACACATACAGTAGGAAGGGAGATTAATTATCATAATACCATCAGTCAATCACTATTCATTTGTTTCTTATTTTGCATTATAACACGGTTTTGTTGAATACTCGATTCTTATAGGTCAAGTTTGGACATGACTGCGGTTTGCAACTTCTCTAAGAAGATTAAGGAAACTCTTTCTCAACTCATTATCTTTCCTTATTGGGGTTTATTTTAGCAAAAATAACCTGTGCTTTGTCCATTATCTCTCACGTACACTCTGTGACCTTTGACGCCCACCTTCCACAGAGACTTCTCTGGACCGGACGAGGTCACTCTTGTTGCCCACAAGGATAATGGGAATGTTTTCGGCCTGGCGGGTGCGTCGCAGAGTGATCCGTAGCTCAGAGGCGGCTTCAAAACTGCAACGGTCGGTGACCGAGTAGACGATGGCGTACGCACTCCCGACCTTCAGACTGGGGTCTTGCGAGGAGTCTTCCTCCCCCTCCTGCGAGGAAGAGAGACATGGGAAGGAAACATGTTAATTAAAAACATTATATTTAAGATATAATTAGAGGAGGAATACCATTTTGATTCTTAGAAAGTTTTTTATTTCATTTATCATAAAGCCTCCTTGCTTATTTATAATAAAAATGACACATTTATCCTGTTTTATGGAATTTTTATCTTTATGTAGATCACAAAATAATATTATAGTTATTACAAGAAAACACACACACACACAATGTACCAGTTTGTCGTTCTCCCAGGTATCCATGACGATGAGTGTTGTTTCCTCTCCATCTACTGTCAGTTTCCGCTCGTATGAGTCTTCTGTAACAAACAAGAGAAAAATAAGACTGAGAATTTGTGTGTGGCTGAACTATAGACAGTATTCTCACACTTGCTAATGTGCTAACAACAGCATTAGTGTTGTTATGCTATTATGCTGATCTTAGCACGTTAGCACGTGTTAAAACTTAGAATGTTTACAGCGTCCATTTTACATTTTGGCATGTTCAAATGCTACAGTAACAGTTGCCCATTAGCAATGAACACACACTGAGCCTTAATAATTCAAAGGTTTCAAGGATCCGTTATGCTAATTCTGCATTATAGTATTTCATTTATTCTACAAAATCATGACAAAAGCAAACAAAAAATGTAGTCCTATATATGTTTTTTCTATTGCATGTAAACAGTAGCATCAAAAAGAAGGGGGAATAGTCTTCAACATTGAACCTCTGACATCAGGAAAACATTGACGTTTGAGCACCGAGCATCATTGATGTGAACAGAGTCCGCCTCACACAAGCTGGCAGATTTTCTGTTTTGTGAATAGATCTGCCCAACTATATTATTCTGCTTCCCCTTCTGCTACAGGGCCAAGAGTGGGAATGACAGTGACACAATTCTCCTTAAAACAAAAGCATTTTTTTAAGCTGTTATTTCAAGCTAAAAAATGTGGCTTTAAAACCTTAGATATTTCAGTTGGGACCAAAGTGGTGGACTAACTCGCCAACATCGTTGGGACCAACAGCAAATGAAACCTGCCTATTGCATCTGGGATTTTTAAGAGACAAAGAAAAACCTGGTTAACAGCTACAACATAATTCATACCTTCAAACAACAGCATCAAGGACTGTAAAATTAAAGCAGGAACTAAATCATGGGGCTCAGTCAACCGGAAAACAGCAGACAGGCCCTTCCCCCTCACACCATGTCAGACCGTCACTTGATCAATTCATCAATCATGGCTCCAGGCCAATCAACACGTGCCAGAGGACAGATCGATGATGTCAGGTCAGTGAAGGTTGGGATGTTACAACAAAGTCAGAAACTGAACTGCTGAGTCAAGTTATGAAAGCTACAACCAAATACGCACCAACTGTTACATGTTGGGTAGTTGTAGTTGATTATTAAGTTTCTGTGGTTATTTTACTCTCTTTTTTGCCAGGTAAACAACACATTTAGATTGTTAAAAGCTAACTGAACTGCTTTGAAGATATGGCACATTTAATTACATTTTTTAATATAAAGAAGAGATCATTTATACAAATGCAAATGAGAAAAGATTACTTTTTGAAAAATTCCATTATAGGTCATCTTTCACTTATTGTGTTTTTTATACAAATTGCAATGTTCGGGTCGCTGATCTGACTCAAGGACAGTGTAAAACTCTCACATGGCCAACATGTTCTTTCAGTTTTATTTGTAAACAAACATCACGTGCACACAGAACTCCTGTCCGATCACAAAATATCAGAACTGTGTCCAACCAGTGACTTCTCGACCATGTCCTCTGCTGCGCATTGTTCCAAAGGCCTAATGGCCCAAAACATTTCCCAATGGACAAAAAGTCAATTTGTCTGACGGTCCATTACTCCAAAATCAAATGCCCATTGCAACAAGAGCCAAATGTTTCTAAAGTTCACTCTCTCTGCAACATACAGAAGCACAAGTCCAATATCTCTACATAATAGCAAAGGCATGATTACCCTACCTGCCACAATTGATTTCATATGATAATATTGCTTAACCAACACAACCAATGAAGCTAGCGAAAGTAGTGTTGATCTTTCTATCTATTAACTGACACTGTAACGATTTAAAGTTTGCTTACATTCGCCAACAAGAGCTACCACACATTAAAACCTGAACCTGTGTTGCACTTAGTAAGGAGTCCTTTATTGCTTGCGAACTCAACATTTTATTCTAGGAGGAATTATGTTTTTCTCTTGTTAAGAAATTAAATATTCTGACTTTAAACCTAGTATTGAAAATAAGACAAGCTTGACCACTTTTAGATTCATGGCTTATTTCTATGATAAACTATTGTATTAGTTTTAGGGTGGAATGTTATTGATCAACCATAGACTTTATAGGGATCAAAAGCTGAACGAATCAGAGGTAACATCCCACCTCCAGGTTGTTCCTCTTTCTCTGTGATCCCGGCAAAGATTCCTGCCAGGCTGGTCTTTCCGACACCTTGGTCGCCTAGCAACACAACTCTGTAAACACAGTCCGAGTCACTCTGCGAGTCGTCGTCCGAGTCCGAGCTCCACTGGGCTCGGTAGTGCAGGGACTTGTCTCCAGGGTGGTAGGACGCAGACTGTCCCAGGGGAGGGTGGCTGCGCTGGGGGTGGGGGGGCTCGGGCTCCTGGTGGTTTCTCCTGGGAAGCCGGGGGTCCTGAGGGTCTTGGGTCAAGGATGGGTGCTTGTAGAAGTGGGCTGGGGGGATGGGCGTGCTGCCTCTCCGCCGCAGGGGCTCCTTCCCTCTCTGAGTGTTCAGGGTCATGGTGCTACGGTACAGGCATCAGGACAAGACGGGCCTGGTGGGGAGATGAGAGGATTCAGAATAAAGTCTGGTACACTAGCGTCTTTAAGGTTATTGAAAAGTCTTTCGAACAACCAATTCAGTGCTACTCTGGCATAATCCCAGTCTTTCTGAAAATATGAAACTTGGAACATTTTTTTTTGTTTTCATTCATTTTCTAAGACAAAACTAAGATCTATTTTGCTGCCATCGTGGAGTTTAACTTTCGAGTGATGATGAAGTGTACTCCAGTGTGTGTCCGGCCTGGTTACATAGGCAGTCTAAATCAAATTATTTCCTTAGGTACTTTGTTGATTTTCTCAGTCAAAATTGGACTTTAATGTTTAGAAAACTTGAATAAAAGCTAATTTTGTTCATTGTTCTTTTCTCAGTCGGACTGCGCAATATATAAAAAATTGCGATGACAACATGCTTGATAACCACTTCACAAAAAAAGTGAAAAAAAAGGTGTGTGGCCTTGGGTGTTGTGTACAATACAACTTTACTTTTTCATTTTTGTCTGTTAATAAAAAAAACTGGATTTCCCCTAGAAAACTAGAAAACTATTAGTTTAGTAGCTAGTGTATGAAGGGGTATCTGACATGATGTTGCTCATGCTGTGGTTAAGTCTAAACAAAGCTTAGTTTTCTTCACTTATAACACAGTGAAGAATTCATATTTATTTTAACCGCCTTTGCTTTCTCACTGTCTCCATCCCCACCAACTCATAAAGCTGGCAATGTCCTTGATCTCATATTCTCAAGGAACTGCACTACTCCCGCTCCACACCTGGGATCACTTTTTCACATCATTCTCTCTACCCCTTTCCAAACATAACAAACTAATCTCTTCTAATTCTGCACCTGTCGGCCGTAACCTTCGTTACCCCCCTCTACTCTTACCTCATTGGTGCTCTCAGCCCTCCCTTCATCTGACTCTTTCCAACTTCTGCCTCCAAACTCTGCTGCAGAAACTCTCCTCTCTACTCTTTGATCCTCTCTGGACTCTCTCTGTCCTCTCCCATCTCGGCAGGCTCGTCAGTCCCCTCCTGCTCCCTGGCTAAATGACGCACTGCGTGCTAATAGAACCATCCTTCGGGCAGCAGAGCGGAAACGGTGGGAATCCAAACACCCTGACGACCTCCTAACCTATCAGGCTCTCCTCTCCTCTTTCTCTGCTTCGATCTCTCAGGCAAAAAGCACTTTCTTTCAAGATAAGATCCAATGTTCCTATTCCAATCCCCAAAAACTATTTTCTATCTTCTCCACCCTCCTCGAACCCCCCAAAGACCGTTCCCCCTCCTCCCTTCTGTCAAGCGACTTTGTTAACTACTAAAAAAGGTTAGATGATATTTGCTCTTCTTTTTCCGTACTCACCATTAGTCACCGCTGGGTCACCAGACCCTCCCTTCACCCACACACTGACCTCCTTTTCCCCTCTCTCTCCAAGTGAGGTTCTTACCCTCATTACCTCTGCCCGTCCTACCACCTGTTCTCTGGACCCTATCCCCTCAAACCTCCTTCAGGCTATCGCTCCTGATATTCTACCGTTTCTTACCCATTTCATCAACACTTCTTTAACTCCTGGGGCCTCATTTATAAAGGGATATACGCTACAAAAATGGCGTACGCCAGTTTCTACGCAATGTTTGCGATTTATAAAATACTAACTTGAC